ATCCTCGTGCTCCAATACTTGACTTCGCAGAGAAAAACATTCCAGAGAGCTTCTCTGGGCAATCCATCTTGGTCTTGTGGCTTTGGCTTTTGCTGAATTCATGGTGGTACTCCGTGTTGGTCTTTGGACTGGACTGTTGGTATCCTGACAACTGAGTATGGTAATCCCTTAATGATCCATCGACCCTGAAGTAGATAAAAGATAAAAGAGTCTATGGCCCTTTTCCCCATTATTCTCCTACCTAAAGTTGTGTGTGTGTTGGGGGATGGGGGAGTAAGGGAGATAAAGGTACTTAAGAACCCCAAATAAAGTAGGTTTGGTGAAAAATCTAAGCCTACACTTCTATGTCAGAATCTGCCTGTCTGATCATGTGGCATTTCCTTTAGATCATCTTCTATGATGACTTTGCTTCTCCCACAGAAAATCCAGTCTTTTTCAGGAAGATTTTTGAGTGTCATTTTCCATCAAGGCCACTCCTCAGTCCATCCTAGAGGGCAGAATCCAGAATGTCATATTACACTCTGATGAAATTTGTCCTGGTATCGTAACCTGAGGTATTCTTTAACAGGCATTCATGGTATCAAAAATGACTTGAAGGAGGCAGACAGAGTAGTTGTTGCTATTACAGAAGAAAACATGAGATATGTTGGTTCAATGACATAAGAGAAAGCACAGCCCCCCTTTCAATACAGCCAATATTCATCTGTCCCCAAGACAGGAACACTAGCCATCCTCAATGGATAACTACATGCAACTTGAATTTTTCTCCTAATCCGAGGACACCCAGGCAGGCATGTCTTACTGTGCACTTGTCTTCTTCCAGATTTTCACAGGAGATCTATAAGAACCAACAGCCTTTAGATGCCTTTTAACTCCTTGCCATAATCTGGGACCACTTGAATGGGGACAGGTAAATATGAAAGATGAAAACACAGGTTGTTACACACAAGTTGGGCAAGAGGTTCATTTTAACCAACCCTCAAATTTAAATTGCCGTGCAGCACTAGATTCAAGTATTTTTTGAAACGTGGCACCTGTATACTCATGTATATTAAACAGAGTTTACATTTAAGAACATACACAGTGAACAGTGACTTGGTTTCCAGGAGAGAAGTCTTGCATTTTTTCGAAAGAAACACATTTTTAATACCCAGTGGTTATTTGCTCTGAGCACAGATATTTTCTCTTAACTGTATATGCTTTTATGTTGCCCGAGCAAATAAAATGTGGTTTTTATTTTTAAAATACAGAATTTCATAAAAATTTCCAGAAATTGGCATATTTAACATCAGTTCTTCCACTGACTTGTGGCCTTTCCACTCCAATCATCTGTGTTGATTTCCTGTGTGCAGCATGTCTTATGGGAGGGATGAAGTGAGACAATAAAGAGGAGCAATGCCCAATCAAAGGATAGTTGCCTACAAGGACTTTACACGAATGTGTAAACTGGCTGCTCAGAGAAGCGCGGTCGCGGTCAGACTGAAGTCTGACGATGAGATCTCCCAGGAAGCCATGGGAGTGACTCGCGCTTTCCACATTTTGGGATTCCACATAAAAAGAGGAGAGACATGGTTCTCTGCCCTCTTTCCCAAGGGCTATGTAGAAAATGACCATAAAGCGTAAAAGCGATTGCTGTTATGGTATGTCTTAAATCCCTTGAATTAACTTGTTCTGTGCTCGGGTAATACATTGTCAGTTTTAGGACCAATGCGCGCGGGCGCACACGCTTACACACACACACACACACACACACACAAACACAAACACATACACACACACCACTTCTGAAAATGACGTGCTTGTCCTTGACAGAAAGAGCATTTATTACACCTGATAGGTTTTTTTTTTTTCCAGCATGAACAAAGTGGATTTGCATCATTCATTCTCCTCAGTGCTTTTTTTTTTTTTCTTTTTCAGTCTGATTTCATCACATGAACATAAGCATACATGCATCCCTTTATGGAGCACTCAAATTAAATTGTCTTTCTGGCTAACGTCAGGGAAAACCCTTTTCCAGCTTCTTTCCACCACTCAATAAATTATTGCAGTCTGTGCACCAAACACAAATTACATGCTTTATTAGTATGTTCTGTGGTAACATCAAAACCACAAGTGTTTACATGTGCTGCACGCATGCACTCTGGTTTTTTTTAATAGTGGGTTGACAAGAGATTAAAGGCAGAAATATGGCATTTTATTAAAGCAAACATATCAGTATGCCTACCATGATAAAATGATCTAGTTTTCTTCAGACACAAAAGTTTCCGTTGAGTGATACCTTTGAAATTCCTTGAGGGCACCCTATTATTCACTCCTCTCAACAGAGAGCAGCTGCAAAATGGTCTCCAATTTTCCAAGAGTATTGCCTGGTCATTCTTTACTGTCAAAATGAAGAAGAGCATAAAAGTTAAGTCAATAAAGTAATATGAAATGCTTAATATAAAAATTCAGGAATGAATGATTAACCATTAAAAAGTTACAGTAGCTATTTCATCCAGAAAAAAAAATTAACATTTCCCCTGAAACCTATTAACACTCCTTGTAAACAATATTCTTTTTTGAAATATATGACCTTTCCTAATGCTTTCCGCACACATGGCATTTTTCTTGTATCCACTTTACCTCTCCTGATATGAAGTTGAGTTCCTCAGGAGAGCACTCTGAGCCCCTTACCCAGGAATGTGTTGCCTTGCATACATCCCACGTGGATGCCCATTTAAGTTGGACAGTGCTGACCCAACTCCCAAATCACAGGATTTTCCTGTAGACAAACAGGTTGGGTTATCTGATAGCCCAAAGCTTCTTCATCAGCTAACCTGGACAAATGGTCATTATGAAAATTAGCATAAATGCCTCTCTTTTCTTAGAATGTGAGCAGAAAAGGCTGAAGTAAAATAATTTTTCCATATTGTTTAAAATACTATTTGCACAAAATCTTTGGGAGTTTCACATAATGTAATTTGAACATATTCACTCTCTCCTAACTCCTCCCAGACCTACCCCCTACTTCCACACCCATATGTCTCTTTCTCTCTTCTTTCTCTCTCTCAAAAACTTAGTCAGTCCAAGTTATGTTACCCAAATACTCTCAGCTGTGGGGCCTCTTCTGAACCACAATTAATTTACCAGGAGTTATGTGACTAAAGACTCTTACAAGACACCAATTGTTTGGAAGCTAGGAGTGGAACTTCATGAACACCTCTAAACCTCCATGCTACATTTTTTTTCCTGGGCTGAGCTTGAATAGGTCTTGGGCATACTGTCAAAATTTTTGTGAGCTCATATAAACAACAGCCTTGTTTTGTTCAAAACAAAACAAAACAAAACAAAACAAAACAGTTTCATTTTTGTCATCTGCTATTTCTGGCTCTTGCAATAGCTCTATTTTACCTTCTACCATGAAGCATTAGCAGAAGTGGTATGATACAGGTATCTTAGTTTTGGTTGAGCTGGGGTCTCTGTGTTATTTGACATCTACTGCAAAACATCTAGGAGGGTTGAGATATGCATTGATCTACAGATATACCAATGTCTGTCATTGGGATTATTTTTAATTATAGAAAAAGGTCCATTAGCAAAATGATAATAGTAGGTTCTTTCTTAGGGTATATGACATATCTAACTACAGATTCTTGGCCCCTAAAATGGTGCCAAGTGTGAGTTCCATTTCATGGAACATACCTTTGATTTCCCCCTCCCCCCCCCCCAAAAAAAAAGAAAGAAAGAAAAAGAAAAAAGAACATGGTTGGTTACTCAAATAACATCATGCTGCTCTTCCATTAATGCTCAAACCTTCCTAGGATAGTCATTATTACAATTTACAGGGTTTACAGCTCGGTAAAAAGTGATTTTTTTTTCTCAAATAGCAGGTATACAGTACTTTTAACTATGATATCTAACCAGTAGGGACGAAGCTTCCAGCTCAGTGCCCGCTTGATTTATCCATGTTTGATGATTAAAGTATGATGCTGTCTCAGAAGAAGAAAACAGGAAACAAGTTAGGAACCTGCCACAGAGGGCCTCTGAAAGGCTCTGCCCTGCAGATTATCAAAGCAGATGCTGAGACTTATGGCCAACTGTTGGGCAGAGTGCATGGAATCTTACGAAAGAAGTGGGAAATAGTAAGATCTGGAAGGACAGGAGGTCCACAAAGAGAACAACTGAACCAGAAAATTTGAACACAGGGGTCTTTCCAGAGACTCACACTCCAACCATGCATGGAGATAACCTAGGACCCCTGCACAGATGTAGCCCATGGCAGTTCAGTGTCTAAGTGGGTTCCATAGTAATGGGAAGAAGGACTGTCTCTGACATAAACTGATTGGCTTGCTCTTTGATCATCTCTCCTGAGGGGGAGAGCAGCCTTGCCAGGCCACAGAAGATGACAATGCAGCCACTCTTGATGAGATCTGATAGACTGAGATCAGAAGGAAGGAGAGGGGGACCTCCCCTATCAGCAGACTTGGGGAGGGGCATGTGTGAAGAAGGGGGAGGGAAGGTAGGATTAGGAGGGGAGGAGAGAGGGGTTTATGGGAGGATACAAAGTGAATAAAGTGTAATTAATAAAAGGTTTTTTCTTTTTTTAAGCATGATGCTGTCTTCAACAAGAGAGTCATACCATGAAGTTCTGGAAGGAAAATGAAAGCAATGATAATAGCTTGCTATGTTGCTGTGGGGGGAGGTCTATACGGTCTCATTGGCCAACAACTGTAAAAGAGGCTACTTATTCCTGGTACTGAGATTTTTATTTGCCACCCCTGTGGTTTCTGGTGAAGGTCTGAACTACCCCACTCAATGTCATAGCATAACCCTATTTAAAATGAAGTTGTTGTAGGATATTTTGATCATTATTAAGTAATAAAGAAAACAAAACTGTCAAGGACCTATATTAAAGCTAATCATTTATAATTGGATATTGCTCAGAAAAGTAACACTGTGAATGCAATATTTACAGGAATGGTTTGACAGAAAAATTGTAAAATGACCTAGCCAGTGTCAACATGATCATCTTTGAGATTAACATGTATTGCCACACATTGGTATGAGAGCCATTGGAGAAACCCAACCACATCATCTTCATAGAACTGTCACCAGAACTGTGGCAGCCTGGTTATCATGTGGCATGAGTAGCTATGAACTTGACTTTAAGAATAATCTTCACTTTGCAGAAATTTTAGATATTCTCATAAGCCTTTCCTCTTACAGAACTTATTTGTTTGAACAGATATTATGTATTGCTATTTACTAGATTTTTGCTTTCTGGAACTAGACAAAGATATCCTGATGGCCTATTACTAGGGAGGCAGGAAGCCTGCCTCTACAAACATCCATTGAACAATCATCATTTTAATATACACATATATTAGATATGGCTCTACATTTTATGAACAAGAGCAACTTAAAGTCAGATTCTGACTGCACACATAACACAGCCTGGCTCAGTAAGTATCATAAGGAGAAGTGAAAACTCAGGAAGGTCATTTGCAAGGGCTAGTAATTGAGTTTATGTCTTATGTTATTTTCTGCAATAATGATGGACATGTGCTACCTAATTTGGTACTTAGAAGTGAGAAGGATATAAACAGGGCCTTTGCAAACTTCCATATTAAGGAGTAGACATCAAAAGATCAGTAAGAAAGAATAGACAAAGGGAAGAATAAGAAATATTTAGCACTACACAACTCAAATGTAAGTTGCAATGCTAAGAGTCTTGGGAAAATTGAGGATTAACATGCAAGCTGTTTTTGACCTTTGAGAAAGGAAAATTGGAGGCATTCCGTTAATCACAGACAGCTAAATGCAGATAGGCATCTTTGCTGTCTCCCAAAACTGTATTCAAAAGAAAGAGATTAAAGAAAGATTAAAAAGGCAAACACCACACACTTAAAAACATTGGGGAAACCGTGATAGAAGATGAAAGAGCACTCAGGAAGAGAAGAAGCTGATAGAGATGTGACAACAAATTGAAGAGTTTGGCTCCTTCACTCAGTAAAGGCCAAACAGGAAGTAAGCTGATCTTTACCAAACAATTTCAGAACATCTCATAAAACAGAGCAAGAGGACATCATATAAAGCCAAGAATAAAAGGTGGTCTGAGAAACAGGTCATTGTTTGAACTCAGCTGTGGAATTATGAAGCAGGGCATCCCTGAGCTCAGTCCCAGTTGAGCGTGAAGCACCTAGAAATACCAAGAAAATGGCAAACCAAAAAAGGAATCTGAGGCAGAGGGTCTAAATTAAAAACTCTTGTCAACAAAGATAAAAATCAACCCAAAGAAAGAATAGCTTCTTTCTGAGTGGTTTTAGGATTGCAATCAAGGAGGTGCAGTCTAGAAAATGCACTGCGGGGTTTTTCATGATGATGGCTCTTTAAAACGACTGCAGGGACAGTTGTCAATTGCATCCGTTTGTTAGGAATTATGAAACTGCATAGGGATCCTTATAGAAGAGTGGGGGAAAGGATAGAAGGACCCGGAAGTGACCTGATCTTCACAAGAAGAGCAACAGTCTCAACTAATCTGGGCTCAGAGGCACTTGCAGAGACTGAAGCACCAACCAAGGACCATGCATGGACTAGACTTAGGCCCTCTCACACAGCTGTATCTAATGGGTAGCAGCTTCCATCGGGTCTCCTAAAAGAGGATGGGGGCTTTTACAGACATGGTCTCTGTTGCATGCTTTTTGATCACTTTCCCCTGGCAGGGCTGCCTTGCTAGGACACCTTGAAAGAGGAAACACAGTCCACATGAGACTAGATAGATGTGCTGGGGTGGGTTTGTAAAAGGCTTTCCTTTTCTGAGGGGCAGGAGAAGGGGGATGAGGGACGGATAAAGAGGAAAAACTGGGAGAGGAGGGAGGGGGCTAAGTCTGAGATTAAAGTGAATAACTAAATAAAAGTATATAAAGAATTCTGAAGGTGCAGCAAAGGTCAAATGGCTGGGTCAGAAGGCGAATGGGTGTTGGCCCAGAAAACAAGGGAATTGGCTAACCAAATGGTTGCAAGGGCTGCTGCGCTTGGCTCCAAAAGAGCTCAGGATAAACATATGCCTAAAGGATCATCTGAAGCTCAGTCGAATATTTCAGACTTGCATGTGCCAAGCACATAGCCTAACAAGGCTTCCATGCTCTGTGCTAAATGCTCTTTCACCTCTCATTTTCACCCGCCACTCTATTGGCGCTCAGAATCCTATGACCCAGGCTGTGTTCTTACTCCACAGGAGCCTCATTCTGCTCCCACAGACGAGGGCTACCTCACCAAAGAAGAAGTCAAAGTTCCTCAGTCACCTAATCTCCAACTTCTTACCCAGAGTTCCCGGGGTCTATTAATATTTAGGAAGGAGATTCTAAAGCATGAAACAAACACACAAACAAACAAATCAATCAATCAATCAATCAATAAACATTCTAATAGGAGAGGCAAAGAGACTGTAATTAAGATTGCAAGATTATGACTAAAAATTTGTTGTAAAATCTGTCCATATGTTACATATGGGGCATTTAAACAAGAAAAATTATTTTGTCTATGAAAAAATTAAATAAACAAGGAAAATAGTCAGTGTGGAAAGAAATAAAGGAAGAACATTCATGCTGTGTATCTTGAAGGCAGGGTCAGAGATATTAACAGATGCCTCTCTAATATTCCAGCAACATATCAATTGTCTAATATACATATTTAAAATTATTGAATATAAGAATGAATATGAATGAGTAAGTAAATAAATGAGTTATGAGACTTTTTTAATGTGGCAGAAAAGCTCATTGCATCCATGCAATAGCAATATCAAGAAAAAAATTTCATTTGGTTTTCAAGATAATGAAAGGGACGACACGGAGGGAAAGTTCTGTGGAGGGCTGTGATGTACATGGATACAGGGTCATGAAAGGCCGTGATCAGGTGGGCACTACCTTTGCCTGTCTTTGCTCAGAGCTGTCCATGCAGTAGTGTCCATGTTGGGAAGGGCAGATTTCACCAAACGGTGGCAACATAGGGGAATAAGGAAAAGACAGAATAACATTTTTCAGACTATCTTTAAATTTTAAATGCCCAAACGCCTCCCAACAGTTCAAATCTCTTCAAAAACCTTGACAGCAATGGCTTTTTCCTGTTAACTGTGGTAACTAAAGGATACTTTGTTTTGAAAACACACACTGAGTTTTAGCAAATGACATTGGCTTTTTTTTTTTTCCCACAAAGCTGGACTTATTTTATTGGAAGAAATCAGAAGGTGAAGAGTCATGAAATTCAGGTCACATTCTTTTCTTCTTTTATTCCAAGTGCTGATAATCAGATACTCCTTTTGGATTGAACTTCCACACTTCAGAATACCTGCCTTCTCATCCATTAAATGAAAATGTTCGCAGTGAGTGATCATCTGGAACCATACACTACAAATGGACATCTTCAAAAGAATCTTCTCTAGTTTTCTAAAATATAATAATGATATTTTTGATCCTTTCAACTTCCAAATGAAGAAAATATCTCACAAAAGCTTAACACATGTGATTTACATAGGAATAAAAATGTGGAGAATAAGGAAACCTGATAAGATTTGTCAGGTTTTGAATGTTGTAATTTGATGAATGATTAATGTGTAGCTAAAAGGAACAGTCTAGAGAATATACATCTGAGAATGCTTTCTCTGTACTTAGTAGTTTCTACAAACCACACAAATCTAAGAGCTGATTAAAGCAGCAAACATTAAGCTAACAAAAATCTCTTAAAATTGATCATGATAATAACATAAAACCTTTTCCATAAATGTCAGATGTGAAACATTGTCTTATTACTCTTTTCCTGTTGATGTAATGAAATACCTTGACAAAGTCAACTAAAGAGATAAAAGTTTAGTTTAGTCCACAGTTCCAAGTTACAGTCAATCAATACGGGGAAATCAAGGCAGCAGTAATTTGAAGCAGCTAGTCATGCATGCAGCTGAGAGCATAGAGAGAAAATGGATGCATGTAGAATTGTGTTCAATTCACTTTCTTCCTTGTCTACATAGTCTAGGATCTGAACCCTGGGAATTCGTCACACACTTTTCGAGGCAGGTTCTTCCCACTTTAATTAGCATAATCAAAACAGTTCCATACAGATGCACCCACCTGTCAATAGAACGGTGTCAAAACCCTTATTGAAACTACCTTTTAGGTGATTCTAGATTGTGTTAAGTTAAAAGTTCAAGCCATCACAACCCTCCGCCTAAAAAACGGGCAGTAGATAGGAAGATAGTTATGAATTCATCTAAGGCCACACTCCCTGTTACAGGAATGAAGATTTTTATTTCCATGAGTGTGTTTGTCTTATTTTGTTAGGAATGCCTATGGTTATATGCATTATAACCATGCATAGTGCCCATGCATTAAGCAGAAATCTGTGTCTCCTTTCCTCTGTGTCTTTATAAGGTACGATTTCATCAAATGAAATAATATCAGTAGTTAAGTCATATAAATCTCTGTTACCACATTTAAGTTATGGAACGCTAAAAGAATAAGCATTCCTTGAGGGAATTTGTCACCTATTCACTAAGAATAAAATTTTAAAAATATAATAATAATGATAATAATAATATAATGTATTTGCAGTTGTACATAGGGCAGTTATATCATATTAAGTTGAATTATTACCTTGTTAATATTATTGTTTTCATTTAGATATTAAGAATGACAGAGTCTCTCCAGGTCTAAGAACCACACCACACACAACAAGTCCCACAAATGGCATAGAAATGGCATCAAGAAACCCTACTCACAAACATACAAATCTCTTAAGGGGGTGGACCCCAAGTTCCTGAACAACATGCGCTTTGCCAAGAAGCACAAGAAAGGCCTGAAGAAGATGGAGGCAAACAACGCAAAGACAATGAATGCGGGAGCAGAGGCCATCAGTGCCCTGGTGAAGCCTGTGGCCATTAAGCCCAAGATGCCAAAAGGCCCCAGGAGCAAACTCAGCCATCTGGTTTTCATTTCTCACCCCAAGCTTGAGAAGCAGATTCGAAGCTACATGGCCAAGGGTAGTAGGCTTTGCCAAACAAAGCCCAAGGTTCAAACGATGGCAGAGGCAGCAGCCCCAGCTCAGGCTCCTAAAGGTGCCTGGGCCCCTGTGAAGGCTCCATAGGAAAGGCTTCTGTCAACGTGAAGACTATGGATTGGTGTGACACACCCACCTACACACTATTTACAGATGACCACTCTCCTATGCTGATTTTACAAATAAACCCAAGGCAAGATCTGTTAAAAAAAAAAATGGCAAAGAGATGCAATTGACTGTCACGATGACAAAGAGTGAACTTGTGACGGTTAACTGGACCACACTTGTGAGAGATTTACTCAGTGAGTTATTTGAAGTGGGAAGACATAATCTGAATGTGGGTGATGTCTGCTGGTGACAGCCCTGATAAAAGGAGGTGGAAGGCGGAAATGTTTCTTATGCCTTCTTGGCTTCAGTCTTAGTGGCTAGTTCATCTGCTCTGTGGCTGTCTCTGCTGCTGTTGCTATGTTCCTTCACTGAAGTCAGAACCAAGCTTCTTTTGGCTAATAGCATGGTCTGAGGACCAGCAGCTCTTCAGGAAACCTCCAAGCTTTCATTGCCAACAAGGTCTACTGAAGCAGCCAGTTCATGAACCTAGAACTACTAAGAACTACTCAAGAACTACTAAGTTCTTGGTTTCTCCAGTGGGAGACAGCCATAATTGGACTATTCAGACCATATTGTGTAAGCCAATCTAATGAATTCTGACTAATCTATTAAACCCTTACTAGAGAAACTACAGAAAATATGAATAATCAGGAAGACTGAACAACAGATTATTAATGATAATCGAATCATTAAAGAAGCAAAAAAGAAAAAGTAAAAATTGCTAGAATGAAAATGTAGCTACACCATATAAAATTTATGGTTAGAGATAGAAATAAAAGAAGTCTGAAGAAATAAGCCAATGTCTCTAAGTGCCTACCTTAAAAAGTATCACAGAGAACTCAAATAAGTTAATATTTTACATTAAGGCCTTCAATAAACAAGAAGAAACCAAATTAAAGCAGTACAAGAGGATAAATAAGATCAGAGCAGAAATTAATGAAATAGAAATAAAAACAAAGAATCAAATGAATAATTGGTTCTTTGGAAAGATAAACAAGACTGACATACCTTTGATAAATTGACCAAAAGAATGACATAAATTAGTAAAATCAGAATCGAGGCAGAAGAGATTATAACAGATACCAATATTGAAAGTATACAAAAGAAATGGGTAGATTTCTAGATGTATATAATCTATCAAACTTAGACCAAGACAAAATAAGTAATCTAAACAGCTCTCTAACCATTAATGAATTGGTTTGAAGCACTAATAAAAAGCTGTTCCAATTGGGAGTGGTAGCATATGCTTTTAATCTCATCATTCCAGGGGAAGAGGCAGGCAGATCTCTGTGAGTTCATGGCTAGTTTGGTATAGATAGTGTTCCAGGCCAGCCAGGACTGTGTAGAGTGTGGAGACACCCTGTTAAAAAAAAATGGAAGGAAGGACAGAAAAAACCAAAACTCTTCAACCCCCCAAATCCCAGGACAAACAGATTCAAAGAACAATCATAAAACTCTTTTAGGAAGTTAATATTATTTAGATACAGAAAACAGGTGAAGATACAACTAAAAATGAAAATTTAGGTTGATCTCCCTGATTCAGATGGGGCAAAATTCTCAATGAAATACTTAAAAAGTCAAAATTGTATTATAAAGAAAATTATGATCAAGTTGGTCTCATTCCAAAGATGTAAGGATTGTTCAAGAGACCTAAACCAATAAATGAATTCAAAGACAGAAATCATTTGATCTTCTCAATAGATACAGACATGTTTTTGACAAAATCCAACATACCTTCATGATAAGAGTCAGGGAAAGGCTAAGGACAGAGGCAGCAAAACTCAGCACAATAAAGGTTTATGTCAAACCTATAGCTAACATAATGGTAAATGAAGAAAATCATTAAGAATTCTCCCTAAGGTTAGGAATAAGATAGGACTGTTCACTCCTATTTAATATAGTGTTTGAGGTGGTAGGTGAATCAAAGAACAAGAAAAGGAAATAAGGGCATACAAATAGGAACAGAGAAATTCAAAGTATTTCTGCTAGCAAACGATTCAATTATATACATAGGAGATACTAAAGACAGCAGCAGCAGCATAAACAACAGCAAATCTTGGATCAGATAAACATTTTCAGCAAAGTGACAAGATACACACACACAGTAGTTTTTTATATACCAATGACAAGCACAGTGAGAAAGAAAATGACCCAATTAGCAATATCTAATCAAAAATTAATAAAATATACAGGAATAACCCTTATCAGGAAAAGGACACATCTTTAAGACACTGAGGAAAGGAATTAAAGAAAACACTAAAAGATAAAAAGGCTCCCTTGCTAATGGAGCAGGAAAAAAAATGATACTGTGAAATTGGAAATCATATCAAAAACAACCTAAAAATTCAATGTAATCCCAATCAAAATTCCCAGGGCCATTCTTTAAAGATTTTGAAAATAATCTTAAAATATATGTGGAAACACAAAAAGATTAAGAACAGCCAAAACAATCCTAGATAAAAGAATTCAATGGAGCTATATCGCCATAGCAAATTTAAAGGGACACTAAAGCATAGAAGTACAAACAACAGAACAAAATAAAGGACCAAGATATTAGTCCGAGCAACTACAGCTACCTGATTTTTATGTATAAAAATGACATACATACAAATAGAGAAAAGAAAACCTTTCAACAAATTGTTCTGGGAAATCAGGATGTCAAGAAGTAAAGAATGCAATTATATGCAATTATCTCTCTCTCTGCAATGCCCTTAACTCCTGAATGGATTAAGTATCCCAACATAAATTCTCAAGCTCCTAAAGGAAAAGTAGTGAATATACATCGCCATGTAACTATAGGCAAGGACTTTCTGAAAATAATTTAGCGAAAGAAAGAAAGAAAGAAAGAAAGAAAGAAAGAAAGAAAGAAAGAAAGAAAGAAAGAAAGAAAGACACGACCAATGATTGCCAAATGGGATCCTATCAAATCAACATGCTTCTGCCCTGCAAGGGAAAAGAACCGAGTGAAGAAGTAGCCTACAGAATAAAAGAAAAATCTTTGCCCACCTCTAACTGATGTTAATATCTAGACTGCACAACTTGGAATTGTGACACAACTTGACTTAAAAAAAATAATGAAGCCATGGAAATGAACGGAGAATTCCCAAAAGAATGAATACAAAGGGCCGATAAATATTTTAAAGTATTTGTCTTCATTAGCCACCAGGGAAGTGCAAATTAAAGCTACTTTGACATTTCACCTCATCCCAGGCTGTATTGCTACCACTAAGACACTGAAGTACAAATATTTATGTTTATACCCATAGATAAACACTACTCCCATCCATAGCCAGAAACGTTTCTCTGCAAAGAATGGTGGTGAGGGCAGAGGCACACTTTTGCTCAAGATGCTGAAAATAAGTTATCACTGAATGTTAATCTGTAAACAGGAAATTTGTACCACTCCCTCTAAATCTTTGGGAGCCAGGTGGTGGTGGTGGGGGAATAAGAGTGGAAAGAATGTAAGAGGAAGAAGAGAGGGAGAAGAGCTGTGAAATGCTGTCTTCTGTGCATACCACAGCTAATGAAGCCATGATCCCAGATCAGCCATGGCTGAAGACAATGGGCACACTCAAGGCTGGGCCTGTCAACAGTCACTCACTTGATCATGAGGGACCACTGGGCACCTTTGCTGTGGAACTACTGGCTACTCCTGTGCTCTGGGAGGGGGCACTCATTGTCCTCCACTGTGGACCCACTGAGGAGCGCAACAGTCTTCAGCTGATCCTTATTAAGATCAGTGAGCCTCGAAATAAAAGAAAAGGACTCAGATGTGAGATGAGGACTTAGAAGGTGGGGCCTAAGAATAGGGGTTGAAGGATGTAGAGGACAGATAATGTTTACAGCGATCAAATACACTGTATGCATAACCTGCAAAAAAAATTAATGTTAAAGTCACATTCTGAATTTCAATTTTCTTTTTAATGTTTTAATTTACCATGCTTTATGGACACTTAGGTATATACCATGATGTTTTCTTATACAAATGTATAGTGGATTTGTACCACAGCTAGGCAAATTAATAATCTAGTGCTTTCCACAGATACATTTTTTTTTCTTAATTTTAATTATGGGGAAATGTACAGGATAAACTGTGTCAGGGCCAATGATAAGATGTCGCCCATATAAAATGTAAATAATGCAAAGGTCGGGGGAAATTGTCAGGATCGGAAAGACAGTGCATAACAGATTCAGAAAATGATGTATTTATTTTTAAATCAGGCTAAACATATATCTGAAGCATGACATCATGATGGAAACCAATGGAAGCCGGGCCGCACAAAGTACTTACGTAATGGTTCGTGTCACAGACTATTTGACCTTAAAGATGGTTTGGAGCCTTACCAAGGACACAAACCAGCCTTGAAAGTCCCGTGGTGATATTCCTGTGAGTAACAATAGGACTTTGTAATTTAACTGGAAATGGATTTTAACCCGTTAGTAATATTATGGGTCCCATGCAAATGTTATCATCGGCTAAAGTTTAGAAAGATTTAGACTCTTCTCTCCATGGTAGATACAGATCAAAGATTCCATCTTGGACTTGGCGTGTCTCCTGGGTACTTGGTAGACACTGCTGCTTTTCTGATAGATAGAGAAAATGAGGCTAGGAAATTGCTATACCATCACTTACTCTTAGATGGAACAGGTAAAAATCCCAGGGGAAATCAGGCTGATGGGCTCTAGGTTTTCCAGAATTTAGCTATATGCTTGGAGAAAGAGTTTGAATGCAAACTTTAGATTTGAGCAACAGCCCCGTTTCGTTTCTTGTAATAGCATTGTGGTTTGGTGAGATATTTTTAAATGTAGGAAAGAAGAGCCACAAAATAGATCTTTTTAAAATCAATGTGCTCAGTGAGAAGCAATTTAGTTTGCTCAAAATATACACATTTGTGAATATGAGTATCATAAGAGGTGGATATCAATGTATATTATATTTAGGCAAGCTCTGCTTAAGGATGGACATAAAGAGGTTTTGG